CATCTCCTTCACTTCTTCCTCAGCGCTCATAAGCGCAAAGCCATCAGGAGCCTTTGTGAGCATCTCCTTTGACAAAGAGTACCTCACAGGGGCACTCATGTCATCGAAGATCGTCTCACCATTGTTGACCACGCAGTCAGCTTCATCTTGGCATGAGGTCATCATGCCTGACAGCAAGTCCACCTCACTGTCATGGACTTCAGCTGCTGGTGTCACACAATGTGCATAGAAACATTGTTGACCTCCTGATGCTTGTGAAGTTCTTGAAGGTGCAGGTAAAGAGCGTGGCTGTTGTTGATTTGCATAGTTTGCATCTTGTTTGCCATCTCCTTTATCCTTTCCTTTTCCTTTCTTGCCTTTTCTCTTGCCTTTTCCTTTTCCTTTGTGGGAAAACCATGCTTCTTCAAGCTGTTGCCAAAAGTCATTGGCGTCATCATATTCTCCTTGAAGATAGTCATTCATATCCTCGGCAAGAATGGCATCATATGCTCCTTGGTTTGACTCCCAAGTTTCCTCATAAGGATTCTCTTCAAGGTATTCATCTGGAAAAGTTGTCTGTTGCTCATCAGCAAAATGGCCTTTACCTCGTCTCTTTCCTTTTCCTTTTCCACGAGGTCTGAAGAATCTGCGGCCTGATCTTCCTTTTCCTTTTCCTTTCCTTCTACCTTTTCCTTTACCTTTTCTGGCTCTTCTTCCTTGGAATCTCCTTTGGAACCATGAGAAGTTTTGATCATCATATACCCAAAAGACATCGTCCAGGGCATCTAAAAATCCTTCAGTTCCATCTTCTTCATCTTCGGCCCAATAGCCAAATGTACCATCGAGTTCTCCTTCGTCTAGTACGAGAAATGATCTTCTACCTCCAGCACCTGTTGGCTGCATCAATGGATTGTCTACTGAAGTCTTTGTCGCGCAGAACATCTCGATGAAAACTGTCCTCAGCTCTGTTGTAGTGTATTGCTGCAGGTACCTGCCACGATGAGTCATCAAAGAAGTCAAAGTGTTTCGCTGGTCCTGAGACAAATCTGCAAGTGACAGCATGAGTAAAGCAATCAGATTTTCTCCTAGAGGAAATTCGTTCTGATGAAGAATTCTCATATTGCCATTGACATTCTGCATGATTTCCTGAATCCTTTCTGCCGTTGGTGCTACTCCAGTCAACGCTGCATCTGCCTGCATCTGAGCAAGGACTTGGGGATGTGCTTGAGTGACTGGTTCTAACATGTCCATCCAACTGCTCATAAGCCTTTGGAGTAAAATCTGGAATCTTGTCATCCATTTCATCATGTCGGCTGATCCTCGATTGAATCGCACGAATTGCATAAACCTGTATAGGAATACATTGGTTGATCCTTTCACGAAATATGGTCGTAGTACTCGTTTGAAGTAATCTACTCCTGCTCCTGGTGGCTCATTAGCCTTCAATGAATCTCTGTCTAATACACGTTTGTATACTGCTGCTTCTCCTTCTAATCTGTTTCTCAAGGCTGGTCCTCTCTTCTCTTCTTCCAGCTCGGTGATATCACACCAATCGTCTATGGCATCCTCATAGGAAAACCATGAAGTCTTTCCATCATAAGATGGGGGCACCTTTGTAGTGACCTGTGTTGTCATTGCTATTGCTGCTGGTTCTCTTCTCACATGCCTATTCACGTAGGCTGCTGGCTCATAAGCCACATCCGCATCAGGCTCTTCCCAGTCGTCAATCCAATCCATGGCCGTTTGCCCACAAGCAATTCTATGCCTAGGAAAGGAGCTCACCTGGGTCTTCCAGGATCACTGCTCCGCTACCACTGAAAGAGTGACTAGGGCGTACACGGTAGAGGTGCAGACCGCTAGTGTCTTTTATGCGCAGAGTCTTATCCTCTTGCTCTTTAGGTCCATTGACCCTCTCTTGAGCCTTGAAGCAGTCAAGCATGGACACACTATATCAGCTGTTGGAGTGGAACCCTGTACAGGTAGGCTCTACTTTTCAGGGGGGGGGGGGTGTGTTTGGGGAAATCAATTCGAGGGGGGGGGGGGGGGGGGGGGGTTTGAATTGAGTGATCAATTATTAGACCCGGACGTCCCAACACTTGCTTCGCAAGACAAACTCAAGGTATCCCCTAAAGGGCTACCTACGCAGCCTTACCTACCTCGAAGGCGGATGACTTAAATAATTGGACGCCTGTCAAGCTATGGCTCGAAAACGCTCCGAACAAGCTCGGCAAACGCCCTCTCACCAGCCCTCACCAGGCCTCTGCCGATAAGGCTTGATCCTTTTGCACCCGCTCCGGCGTGGACATCTCAGGGGGCAGCACGATCCTCAGCCGCACGCGATGCATGTGAAGGGCAGCCCTCCAAAAGCTATCAAGAACAACATGGCTGGCCTTTCCTTTTGCGCATTGAACAACTTCAGCTCCAACTGGCACATTGAAAGCTGTTTAAGCAAACTTAAATCGAGTTCCAAACGTTGTTGCACTTATGTGCGTTCTTTTCTCATTCACGGCTTGCACTTGCTGGAGTGTGGTTCATGGATGATTGTACAAGGTCAACATCTGTCAACAGCTGCGAGCTCGGTCAAGGCGCAGAGCTTCAGTCTGCTCGGGACGGCAGAGCTCCGCCACCCCGGTGATCTGGCCATCCTGGTCGACACGGCCATCGCTGTCGATCCATAGTGAGCGAACCGCGGAGGGAACCGCCATGAGGGACCCTCCATTGGGAGGCTGGATGGACCGTGATAGACCGGTTGACTCGTGAGAGTGGAAGATCAAAGGTGGACCAGGTCCGGGATAGAGTTCGGGTGGAAGAACCACGCCTAACTCTTTTGGAACACTTCGAATGAGATCATCGAAGAACTGCCTGTTGCCACTGTGAGGCTTGGATTCCGGCAAGCTTTGCAGACCGTTCGTTGAAACCCGAGATGCTTGCTGACCTGAAAAAAAATATATATATATATATATTATATACAATTATATACATATATTCAATGTACGAGTATATGATAGTATATGTATATATGGCTGTACCCTGGCTGAACATCGAAATCAGCCTAGCACGGATTAGGGGTCCGGGTTTGACCCACAGCCATACACGGCGCCTTCTCCCGCAGCAGCCGCTGAGAAGCGGCACCCGCGATGAGCTCGTCCGCCGCCGCGCGCGCCTCGCGACAGGTGCTGAACCTGGCCCCGGCGGGCGCGTTCCTCGAGTGATGGAAGCTAGTGATTGAACATTGCCAATGGTCCATGGATTTGATGGCGACATCTTCTGGCAAGCAATTTCAGGTTACACTTTCGATGTTCTTCACTGGCTCTCAGTGCAAGTGGAGTTGGTTCCATCCATCCAAAATGAAGAAAAGGGGGAGGCGAACGACATGAAAATAACAAAGATCAAAAAAAGGCCCAGTCTGCCTCCTTGGCGGATGAGTCCTTTGATAATTCTTGAACAAAAAACTCCAGTTCCACTCCTCTCAATCCTTTTGATACCCTTCGCCCCAGCACTCTTGCCTTGCGTGGATCCTCCTTTCCGAGTTTTTCCAGGACCACGAGGCGGTGCAAAAACCCGAGCAGTCCTGGAACGGTCCGATCCAACGGATCAACCGATCCAGCGCAGCCCATGTGCTCGATCCATTCGGACATCTGAGGTCCTTACAATAAGTCTTGGGACCCCATGTGGCAGCGTGCCCCCCTTTGCTGGTGAAGAGCCCTTCTTCCGCCCAGAAAACAGGCAAAGGTTGAGGCAGCATCATGTACACTTGTTGACTGCTAATCAGTGTTGGCAATGCCTTTGGGGCCTTTGGGCGCACCAACTCGCCAAGTTCATCCCAAGTCGTGGCTTGCCCTAGGTCTGAGTTCATGAGCCAAAAGCCAAAACACCCAAACAACTGCGATGTTCTCTCGCTGATGAAAAGGCCATCCCCCCTGCCCGCTGCAAAAATACCAAGCCCTGCCTGGATTACCTCGATGATCTCCCAAACACTCACAGCCTTCGGCAGGGCACGGATCAGCAAGCTGCCCACATTGGGGTCCTCAGCTGAGCGGCGCGCCACGTGGCGCCCCCGAACAGCCCTCCCGGCAGCGGAGTGATCGCCAGGCGAAGTCGGGTAACTTGGAGGAAGTCAACGTTGCTGACCATAACATCCAATGGTCCAAATGCATGATCCCACACCAAAAATGAAAGTTGTTGGACGCCTGGCCGTTGACGTACTTCTGCCCTAGGGATGAGTTTGGGTTTGCTTGGCTTGGCTTCAAACGTATGCTGTAAACTCAATGTGGTGTGTGTGCCAACACCTCTTCCAAAAGAACGTGTTGCACACTCGCAGGGGGATCAGGCTTCCAGTGACTAACCTGATCCAACGAAGCTGGGTCACTGGAAGGGAAATGGTTTGCACGAGCCTTTGGCTTAAACGGCTTAAACCATACTGCTTAGGCTGACCTCTCCACCTTTCCGAAATTGCACATGGCCGTTGATTCCCTTAACTGATATAGCTCTTGCGAGCATCAATCTAACTGTGTGTCGCCACAGGGTCCCACTGCGGGCTGTGGTGTGATTTCCAGCGAGGGGCGCAGCATGGGCACATGCCCGTAAAGGGTGACCCTTCCCTGATCCATGGTCTTGCACTTGATCCTCCCTTGATCCTTCCACGATCCTTGGTCTTGCACGAGGATGCCGATCATACGCCGCAGGGCTTACTGAGATCGAATTCCAGAACGGATCATCACATGCGGCTAAGTTGTCACATGTACACGCCATGCTGTTAGGTAGTCATAGGCCATGCGACCGGACGTAATCACTAGGCAGGACGGCTAAGCATTCACTTTTCGGTTCGTTCCTTCCTGCTGTTGCTCTTTGTTTTCTAGGTCTTTTTCGTTTACTAGAGGCTTTTTCGTTGTAACTGAAGCTTCTTAGTCAAGTGTGCGCCGGTTACGGCTTCTCATCAAATGCTTTCGGGCCTGAACCCCTAACCCCCCCCCACCCTACACCCCTCGCACCTTTCGTTCCTTGCCTTTTTTCGTTTGCTTGGGCTTTCTTTCAGGCTTGTTATGTCGGCGTTTAGGCTCGTTTAGTCAACGCACACCCTGCCCACCCCCGCACCCCTTGCACCTTTCTTTTCCTTCCTTGCCTTTATCGTTTGTTTTGTTCTTTCTTTCAGGCTTGTTAGGTCGTATCCAGGCTCAATTAGTCAACGCACTCCCACACCCCCTTTCCCCGCCCTTCCCCTTCCCGCGGAAAAAGAGAGCGCGCCGTTTCAGCTTTTTGTGTGCATCAACACCTGTTCCAAAGGAGCGTGTTGCACACTCGCAGGGGGATCAGGCTTCCAGTGACTAACCTGATCCAGCTTCTGGTTTAAACCATGCTGTTTAGGCTGACCTCTCCACCTCTCCGTTTTGCACATGGCCGTTGACAGGTTCAGGTTTCAGCGCTTTAGATCGGTATTGTAATCACTAGAGTGGGTTGCCTTAACTGATTTAGCTCTTGCGAGCATCAATCTAAGTGTCTAGTCACTCGTCTAGTTGTATCTAAATCCATTGTCGCCATCTCAGGAGCCTCAGCATGCCCACCCAATTTCCTTGACATCCCGACCCTGCGGGCGAAGCTCGAAGGCAAACTCCGGCGGCTGCAAATGCCCTGCCACGCCACAGAAAGAGCCCACACCTTGGCACAAGGAATTCGGTACCAGGTTTGGTTTACTGACTCGATGTCCCTTTCAGCATGTGTCTTTTGCGGGCCTCCCTATTGCAACGCAGATGGGTTGAAGCCCAACTGCCCAACCTTTGTCATTTGTGTTTTTGGGGGTTGAGAATCGTCTTTGGGTTCCAAAGGGTGGCACTCCCAAAGAAATCCGCATGATTCTTAGGACAGGAACGTACGTGTGGAATGAATGGACAAACATGAACGTGGACAATGCCTACTTGGTTTACCGAAGCCTTTATGAGGAAACAAGATCAGCCCAAGCTTGCTTGGCAAATGCGCAGAGACGTGGGCGAACTGCGCGTAAACTCAGCCCTGCGTACCTGCACATCAGCCCAGCAACAGAAAGCTCGGGTCTTGTGAATGTAGTAGCGCCCTACGGCAATTTCCGGACTATGTTAGAATGGACTACGTTACAAAGACAAGAACCACTGAGTTTTCTTTATTGTCCATTGTGCTAGTGGTGAGGGGCTTCCATGGCATACCTTGAGACAAACCGAGACGTCCATACTGTGGCTTCTCGCCCAGGTCTTCTTAGCGGCTTTAGCGGTCCCAATGACCCCATGAGCCGAGAACCGTTGAGGACCCAGCCTTCCTAGGCGGAGATCAGACATAAAAAGCGCCGCATTGGCTAGAACTTGCCCTCTGCGTAGGTCATAGCAGCGCAGCTGAGCCATGGGGTTGTACATGTCATAGAACCACCCGCTGTCCTCACAGGTGTGAAAATGTGTGTTTGAACAGCCTTTCATCAGACATGGAAGCTTTCGGTATGAATCGGTCTATGCAGACGACGTCGATCAAGCTTTGCGAGAAAACATCGCTTGGCAGCGGCCCTTAGCTTTGCTCTGCTTTGCCATTTTCTTTAGGGAACCCTCGGTCGGTTCTGTTCGCTTTTGCTGTTTGGTTTCGGTTGATAGCGCTTTCGATTGGTTCAACATTGGTAGCGGAGCCCGAGGGGTTAAATCCGCGGTAGTTGTGGGGAATTGTTTGGTCTGGTTTTCGGTCTGCGGTTGAGGTTGGTCTTAGGCTGCCTGCTCACGCGTGCGGCATGACGGAACCTGACCCTCCGCGACAGCGGAATGATCCTGCGGGCGGAGATCAGGAAGATCTCGTGGCTTTGAATGATCCATGGGCAAGAGCAAGACCTCAAGGCCCACCAACAGTGTTTGGACCTGCCGTGGTTGAGTCGGGTGCGAGTGATCAGCGGCCGATACCTCCGGCCACTCACTATGTGCAGGTTCCAGGTCAAGGTGAGGCCAGTCAAGGTAGTTTGCCAACTGTTGGAGCGTCTGGCACCTTGGGGAGTGATCGATCCTGGCAGTGCGTCGTCTCTGAGACGTTGCCGCTGGAATCGGTAGCGACACATTCGTGGCAGCCGCATTCGTCGTATGTTGCATCAGCACCTCCACCTGGTTTTGATGGAAACGATGCATTGGGCTGGATGGGGTCGTGTCGTTCGGCTACTACACCAGCTTCGTTTGGGGGTTGCGGTCATGGTGTTCATCTACCACATCCACCATGCTTTCCGGGAGGTTGCTGCGGTCCACCTGGGGGAGTGGGTCCATGTCATTGTGGTCCACATGGTTTTCCAGTCGGAGGGTTTCCTTGTGGAGTTTTTGGTATTCCCCCTTCAGCTTGGCCCTATCACATGACGAATCCCATGAATATGACTTCACCACCGCCAATGACATGGGGAAACGGACCATATCAAGCATCGCCCTCGCCGCCTTCAGGACATGAAGATCGAAGTAAAGATGAAGAAAGCGGAAAGAAAAGAAGGAAGAAGCCAAAAGAAGAAAAGGATCCTGAAGAGGCGCGAAGGCAGGTTGGGAGTGAGGGCAGTCGTCAAGATCGCCATGATCGTGCTCCGTTTGGTCCGCCATCCGGCGGTGGCAGTGGGTCGACACCACCCGACTCATCCACTGATGACTCATCGGCGGATACATCCGCCATTCGATCGATGCTGAAAAGAAAGGTGATCCACCAGATGGAGAGGCCCAAGTCCAGTTTGGGCTCGGTTCGAATTGAGGAGTTCAGTGGCGAGCGTTTTCGCTACACCAAATGGAAGAAAGCAGTTGAAGCACAGCAGCAATTGTACAGGTTGGAAGAACAAGAGTTAGCCATGTTGGTGTACCTCAGCACCAAACGTGATGCTCGTGACTGCTTAGACCAGGCTCCGATCAGCGAATTTACACGAGCTGGAGGTCTCAAGTTGGTTTGGAGACTTCTGGACGAGGCCTTTGGAGAGACTGAAGATGAGCAATTTGAGAGAGCTGAGAAGGAGTACAACCAGTACAGACGACTACCTGGTCAAGCAGTGTCAGCTTACATCGGTCAGATGAAACGATTGAAGGCCCAATACCAAAGGGTTGATCCGGAGTCCCAGATTAGTGATCGTGCTTGGGGACAACGTCTGTTGAACAGATGCAGTTTGTCTCGCCGCGAAAGGTTGGACGTGTTCTTCAGTGCAGGAGGACTTTACGATCCAGTGGCCATCGAACGAGCTCTTCGACACCGGTGTGCAAACACTCATGAGGATGAGCGCCGGGTACCAAATCCTACCCGGAATACAAAGGTGTCCAAGCCTCGCTACTATGACGAGAAGAAGAAGACTGGATACAAGAAGGTCTACAAGAGGATCTACGTAGCAGGAGGCGAGGATGAAGATGAGGAGCCAGGAGATGAGGCGGAAGAAGAGGATCTGGAAGCTGAAGGTCTTGAAGAACAAGACGTGTTCTATGAGGATCAGGGCGAAGACACGGAGGAGTTGAATATGATCCAAGAGGAAGACAATCTTCCGGAAGATGGTGAGGAGGTCCAGGAGAGCCTCAAGGAGGCTTACGCAGCTGGCTGGAAAGCAAAGGCCAAGATGAATGACAAGAAGAAGTCACGGGGCTGGACGGGAGGCAACTCAACTCTCCCTCCATCGGTGGCACAAAAGAAGCAATCCAGCCATTGTGCATCATGTGGCCAGAAGGGCCATTGGAGAGGTGACCCTCAGTGCCCAAATGTCTTGGCTGGCAAGGACAAGCCTCATCAAAAGAAGACAACTCCACCAGCAGCGAGCAATACCATCCACTTCACCTATGCCGTGACCACCCACAAGAAGACGAAGACAGAAGAAGTCAAGACCTCAGGACCAATGATGGTGTCTTGTCCCCAATGTCGATGGCCTACTACGACATCAGCCAAGTTCTGCTCTCAATGCGGTTACCGCTTTGATTGGGATCAACGAATGGCTGAAGGGAAGAGAGGTTGGACAGTCGTCAGCCCGGAGGAGGATGATGAAGATCAAGTCCCAAGCTCAGAAAGCAGCAAGCCAGATGATAAGCCCAAGATGTATCACCTGCGAAAGGGACTTCTACATGAAGCGGCAGGTACAGGAAGCTCAAGAAGACTGAACAAAGAAAAGATCAAAGCCAGCCCTGAGGAGGTGCTTGCCGCGTTGCCGATGATGTCCAAGAGCGAGAAGAAGCAAATCAAGAAGGTCTTGATGAAGGAAGAACATGATGCGGCTTTCGAACGATTGGACAAAGGCAAACTCCTGCAGCACTATGCTAGTTCGAGCAGTGAAGAAGGAGATCCGGCGGCCAGAGCTTCAGGTCATCAATTACCAGTGACCCCCAAGACCAAGGGCACCAGTGGTGGTTACATGGAGGAGGTTAGGAAGAAAGATCTTCCAAAACCTGTCAGAGACAAGATGTTAGCCAAGTTCAGGCAAGAGCTATATGAGGCGCAGCTGCATCGAGGGAAACTCAAGCCATCATCGTGTGCACCAACACCCACAGTTGAGCAAGCACGATGTCATCACCCTTTTGAGAGGTTGCGTTGGTCAGCCAATGGAGATGGACATTATGCCGCCTGCAAGGACTGTGGTTTGAAGTCAGCCATCTACTTCTCCGAACGACATGGAGCTTGGGTGGCGAGCCAAGAAGTCGAGACACCACCTCAGGAGGTTTTTGTCACCAGTGTTCCAGGTATGGCCATCATGGACAGCGGATGCAGAACAGCTGTTGCTGGCCTTAAATGGCACATGGACTTTCAAGAGATGCTCAAAGAAAAGGGTTTGAGTTGGCACGAAGAAGATGAGCAAGAGACATTCCAGTTCGGTTCCGGAGGACCGGAAGAGAGTCAGAAAGCCTACATCTACCCAGTGGGCATCCACGGTTTTCATGACGTCATCCGAATGTCCTGTGTTGGAGGAGGAGCAGCTAGTTGTCCAGGTTTGATCGGACCATCCGAGATGGCCCGGTGGGGTGTGGTGATGGACTTCGCGAACAAGAAGATGCAAATAAAAGGATCCTGGCAACAGATGGCTCTCACATCAACTCGCCACCCAGCAGTGTGTTTGCTGGATTTGGGGTCAAAGCTCCAGGAGTTCTGGGCAAATGAGGAGATCAAGTGTACTCTGAAGATGTTGAAGCGAGCTCCTCAATCATGGGCATTCTCAGCTGAACATCGGGCACCATCGGAGGAGGAAAGTTCAGGTGATGAGAGTTCACCAGAAAATGATGAGGAAGCCTATACCAGTGAGGAAGAAGGAGAACAAGGTCAGATGATGAAAGCCCTACAGCGTTTGGAGCACGATCTCGCTCACATTCCCCTGCAAGAGGCTGAAAGGAATGAAGATGACGGAGAATGGGAGCTGGTGAACGACACAGATGAGACCGAGTCGATCACTTCACATGAGTTTGGTGTTCACGAAGAAGATGGTTCAGAGGAGACCAGCTCGGAAGAAGAGATGACAGAACATGAAGTCTACTGCAGCGGGATTCAAAAGAAACACTGCAGCAAGAAAGAGCGAAGTGAAATTGCAGGAAGCATCAAGGAGATCCAGAAGATCTACATCCAGCGCCAACAGGAAGAGAAGAAAGGAAAGGAAAGCCGGACGATGAAGATTCCCAGGCGAAACAAGACAGGGCCGTGGAAGGTGCTAGAGTTGTTCACATGGACTTGCATGATTTCACTGTGTGCAGTTCAGCGGGGAAATTGGGAGATGATGGAGCCCATCACCCTGCCGAACTGGGACATCTGTCGCGATGATCACCAGAAAGAGGCATTGGAGTATCTCAGCCGTGCTGATCCTGACTTGCTAGTTGTCGCCTGGCCCTGTGGACCTTGGAGTGTTCTACAAGGATTTGGACACAAAACAGAAGAACAGCTGCGGCAATTGGGGGAGAAGCGACAGAGGGCCAGAAAGATTCTGAAGTTTGTTTTGAGAGCTGTGAAGGACCAAAGGCTGGGAAGAACCAACCATCATTGAAGCCTTTGAGGGGATGCCAGAATGTGTGACTGACATGTGTCAGTATGGACTCAAGAAACCCCGAGAAGAGCATGAGGAGCAAACGCAGTTCCTACGGAAAAGGACCAGACTTCGCGGCAACAAGGAGATCCTGGAGATGTGTGAAAGGAAGTGTGAAGGAAAAGGTCATCAACATGCCCCAGTCCTTGGCGGAGTGAAGATTGCTGGCCGATGGAAACCCCTTTCGGATTTTGCTGGGGGCTATACTCGTTTGTTTGCCATCCAGGTGCTGAAAGGAGCAGAGAATTACTTGAAGAAAGGACGCAGACAAGAAGTCTATGCACAAAGGCAGTTGGTTCCAGAAGAGAGGTTTGAGGACGTAGACGAAGAAGCAATTGAAGAAGATGAAGGAGGAGACCAAGACATGTTAGAGGAAGAAGTGCAGAGAAGAGTCTCTAGACTTGAATTCGTTCATCGAAGATTGGGCCATCCATCGAACGAAGTTTTGTGCCGGATGCTCAAACTGGCAGGGGCATCGAGGGAGCTCCAGGATGAAGCAGCAGGTCTACGATGTGACACTTGTGGGTCAGGGCCTATTCCAAGACGGCCAATGGCACAGCGGACGGATATGCGTCCCATATCTTTCAACGAGATGGTAGCCATCGACCTGAAGTTTGTGAACGACTGCCAGTCCCAGAAGTACGTGGCACTCAGTATGGTGGACACAGCCACCAACTATCATCAAGCAACACTCTTGAGAAATAGAAATCCAGATCACTGTGCCAGAAAGTTCATGTCCAAATGGATCAGTCTTTTTGGACCGCCGACATGGGTCCACTTGGACCAAGGTGGAGAATGGGAGGCAGAGTTCATCATGCTTTTGGAACAACATGCAATAGCAACAAAAGTGAGTGGAGCCCATGCGGGTTGGCAGCTGGGTTTGGCAGAGCGGCACGGAGCTTTGTTGAGCATTGCCTGGTCGTCACTCATTTTCGAACATCAAGTACAAGACCGACCAGGTATGAAGATGACTTTGATGTGTGCCATCCAGGCCAAAAATCAGATTGTCAGTCGCCGGGGCTACAGTGCCAACACCCTCGTGTTCGGCAAACAAAGCAACTTCCCTGACCTATTGGACGATGAGCCAACCATGTCCACTACTTTGGGACAGGCACTGAGTACCGAAACCGAGGTGGCCCGACAGGCAGAGATGCGTGCAGCAGCAAAAAGGGCATTACTACACCAAGATGCTCAACAAAAGCTCAAGAGAGCCCTGACGAGAAAACCGGGAGGTCAAGTCAGAGAGTTTTTACCAGGCGAGAAAGTTTACTTCTGGACTCCAAGAGCTCGAAAAGGGCGATATCGACCCGATCATGGTGAATGGCGGGGTCCAGCCTTGGTCATTGTCAAGGAAGGTCCAGAACGATATTTCGTCTCCTGGCGTGGTCGGTGCCTATTGTTAGCGGCGGCCAATATGAGAGGAGCCACCGTGGAAGAAAATGCAGCTGTCGGGCTTGAGGAGCTCAGAGACTTTGAACAGAAATGGCACCAAGAAGGAGAAGAGTATCAGGACCTGTCCCACGTTCAACGAGAACCAGAAGAAGAAGAAAGTTCAGCAAGGCAGTGGCAAGCACAAGATGAGGTTCTGAAAGGTGGGAAGAAACAAGGAAGGTCAAAAAGGGATGCAGTCCAGATGATGAAAGGATTCAAGAGCATCCAGAAGCTGGTTCAATCCAGATTTCAAAAGCCAAGAAGAGTGCCGAGAGCACCGAGAAAGAGCAAGAAGGTGACTGAAGAAGACAGAGAAGTTGAGGAGCAGGCCAGAAGAGACTTGGAGGAGTTTGACGCCGAAATGGAAAGGCAAGGAATTAGACCTGATGATCCGCGACTCCGGTTGCCATCGAATCAGGTAGATGAAGAAGAGCCATTGATGAATGAAGAAGATGAACAAGAATTCTGGAGAAGCGTGCAGGCCCAAGAGAGAGCCTATGACCAAGAGGACGAAGAGAGGAAAAGACAACAAGAAGAAAGACGAAAGAAGCTGTTGGACGACGTTCCAATGTCCTTGAAGAGAAAGTCAGAACCAAAGGAGGAAGAAGAGCCGAGGCCCAAGTTACCTCGGACAATGTTCCAGCAGTTGGAAGTGATGGTTGCGGATCAGGAGATCCAAGGAGCCTTGAGGCAGAAGATCTTGAAGAAAGGGGAAGGACAGAGATTGCTGAACCAATGGTTGCCAAAAGAAGAAGTGAGACAGATGAGCAAACTTTTGGATCTGCCGATCAGCGCAGCTAGACTTCACAGAGGCCCAAGAAAGAAGTTACAGAAGTGCCCTACTGAGGAGAAGAAGAGAAGAATCACTATGATGTTGCTCGAACAGCCCGGACAAGCGATCCTGGTTGATGAAAGCAAGGAGGAGATGAAAAGGCCAAAGAAGAAAAGTTCAGTCGCATGGAGGGGATTGACACTCTTCGTGCGTGAGAAAAGGGTGGAGAAGACAGTGTCAGAAGGGAATGAAGTGTTCATCCAGGTCGAGAATGAGACCTACAAGATGAAGATGGAAGATGAAGGAGATCGAGCCAGGTGGAAAGAACTGGTAGATCGTGAAAGGCAGTGGCAAAAGTACAAAGAGGTGCTTCTTCTGAAGTTGAAGGCTTCAGGAAAAGAACTAGACCCACGTTGGTTTAGCGAAGAGGAAGCAAAAGCTTTCCAGGACTCTGACAGGGTGGAGTGGGAAGCGTGGATTCGAAACGGGGTCATTCAGCGACTTCGTCCCGAAGAGGCATCAAAAGTCCCCAAAGAAGCCATTTTTAAAATCCCACTTCGTGTCGTCAGGGTCAATAAATCAAAGGACCCAAAAGTCCTACAGGCCAAGAGCAGGGTGGTGATCCCGGGCCACATGGACCCGGGACTTGGAGAGTTCAGAAGTGATAGTCCCACGACGACGCCAACGGCGATCCGACTCATGAAGAGTTTGTGTGTCACCTTTAGGTGGGCTTGCTATGCTTTCGATGTGGCGACTGCATTTTTGTCCGGCAAGAACACGGACCGCTTGGTGTACGTTCGTGCACCTGCTGACGGACTCCCTAGCACCAGCACTTCAGCATCCGTTGGCCCATTTGAGTTGATGAGAGTGGTCAAGAGCGCCTACGGACTTTCAGAAGCTCCGAGGCTTTGGTACCTAAGAGCAGTAGAGCTTTTGGAAAAGTGTGGAATGGTTGAGATCCCCTTTTGTCGTAGCACTTTCATAGCCAAAGACGGTTCAGAGGTGTACGCCTTTTGTGGCTTACACGTCGATGATGGGTTGTTCATCGGAAATCCTCAGAATCCCAAGTTTGATGAACTCAAAAGAGCAATAGATAGCGTGTTCAACATCAAGGAGTGGCAGGTTGTTGGTCAACAAGGAACTGACTATTTAGGCATGAAGGTTTTCTATGATTCTGAAAGGGGCATCATCACCGATGACATGACAGAGTACGTGCTCAAGATTGAGCCGGTGGATCTTTCCAAGGTGCAGAAAGGAAAACTAGTTGGCGAAGGACTCACATTGTTTCGCCAGCTGGTGATGCGTATGAGGTGGCCAGGTCAACATGTTTTCCCAGAGTTCATGTATCGCATCAGTGCTTTAGCTCAGCGAGTGGGAACAGCAGTTTTTTTCGAGGACATGAAAGATGCAAACGCCTTGTGCTCAGAAATGCATGCTGCAGCCAGAGCCGGAAAAGCCAAAATCGAATACAGACCTTTGGAAGGAGAAACAATGTTTGTGACATTCTTCGATGCAGCTCTAGGTCGCAAACAAGATGGTTCAGCCCAAGCTGGCGAATTCCACCTCATCACGGACAAGCGTGCATTGACAGAAAGTCGACCTTCGAACTTGTTGGAATTCCATTCGAGCAAGATTTCACGTGTCGTTCGATCCAGCATGGCCGCTGAATCATGTGCTCTCACGAAGGGAGCGGACCACCAGTTGTATAATCGTTTGCTGTATGATGCTCTTTGTTTTGGTCGCATTGAAGTGAAAAGTGAATGGAGGAATCAACTCCATGCTTTAGGTGTTCTTGTGACAGACGCGAAAGCTCTGTATGATCATTGTTTGACAACAGGGCATATGGCTCAGGAACGTCAGACAGCAATTGATTTACTCATGTCCAAGAGAATGATTGAAGAACGACAAATGGATTTAAGATGGGTTCCGACATTTAAACAGCTAGCAGACTCTCTCACCAAATCAATGAGAGATGTTTTGCTCACCCAATGGAAATGTGATGGTCTTGTTTGCCTGACCTCCACCCCGGAGGACTTGCAGGACGAAAGCCGAAGAGCCATGATCCGTAAGGGACAGCGCGAACGGCGGGCAGCGAGAGCTAAGAAGTCTGATGAAACTTCTCCTTCCAGGGATGTGAAAATGTGTGTTTGAACTAGCCTTTCATCAGACATGGAAGCTTTCGGTATGAATCGGTCTATGCAGACGACGTCGATCAAGCTTTGCGAGAAAACATCGCTTGGCAGCGGCCCTTAGCTTTGCTCTGCTTTGCCATTTTCTTTAGGGAACCCTCGGTCGGTTCTGTTCGCTTTTGCTGTTTGGTTTCGGTTGATAGCGCTTTCGATTGGTTCAACAACAGGGTCGTGGCAAAGCGGAAAACGAATGACGGCGTCTACCTATGGTGCATGAAACAGGCACAAAAATTACATGCATAAGTTCCGAAAGAAAATTTGTTGGCAGTTAAAACACTGTGCCCCTGCCAAACAACAACACACGAACGAACATTGAGTCTAGCTTGACTCTTGACGGGTAATCATATGGGCCTTTCCATGGCAGACCAAGGGAGCCTCCAAGACAATCCCGAAAATTATGCAGATTATATAGAGGGTTGAATTCGCTTGCTGTCGGCATGGTTACGAGGAACGCCTGCAACCTGAAACAGCACAAACACGGTTAGCTGTTATTATATCCATCCATCCATCCATCCATCCAACCAACCAACCAACCAACCAACCAACCATGCTTGTTCTTCACATCTCCAAAGTCTCCCGTCATTGGTCCTGGGTGTTCATCACTGGTCTTCGCCTCTGAATTACTACACGAGACTGCGCGCCAACAAGGCACAAGTTGCAAACAACTATCCTCGCTGGAAATCCGCATATTATTCCATGTCCATCCATTTCCCGTGTCATCCGTCCTTGATGCTCTCGAGTAGCTTGGCAACCTTCTCCGAAGTGGTTTCCACGGCGTGCTCCCGCATGAAGCGTCGGAACTCCGACTCACTTGCGTGACCTTGGTTTTGAGGCCGAACGAATTGACTGCCTCTTGGGCCAGTCTTCAATCAAAGAACCGATACAATGGACTAAAGTACTAAAGCACGATTCTGATTCAAGATGGAGGTGTCCGAGTGGTGGACGTAGTGAATGATGACACTTAACTAACTAGTAGATGAGCCTAACTTTTCGTGCTTGGCCCACTGTGGTCAGATAATGTAAAACCTTCGCATCAAAGCTTGCCTGGACCAGACTTCGCTGGCAGCTTCTCTTCCAAGGTCTCTTCCATCTCTCCATCTTCATCCACCTCCATGTCCTCATCCACCCCACGGTGACTGCGCCGCCTCCGGCGCCGCCTCCGGCACCGCGGCGCCCGCGGCGCACACGGCGCACGCGGCGGATACGGCGGATGCAGCGGTCGCCGGAGCCAGAGGAGCGGGAAATCCTGACAGATAGGAGAAATCGGCTGTTTAGCAGTCCAGTGAAGTAGCGCGGAACCACTTTGGATGATTTTGGATGGACAAAGCCCGCCAAAATGGATTAATCGAGTGACAGGCTCTGAGACACTCCCTCCTCTTTTTCATGATCCGCCCGATTGTTCGGATCATGCCAGCTTTTCAACCAGCTGCTGTTGAAACACGTCACATCTCCCCTCCTCTCTTTGAGCACCTGCGGGTGCCGGAAATGGCAACCTACTCGTTGGCATCGGTCGCCATGCCAACACCAGGCTGCTGGAGCCGGAAGCCTCCGACGCAAGGGCGAGCGCGAGGAAGAGGCACCATCACCTGGGAAAGCGGAGGAGAAGTCAGTGGTCGAAAGTCCCAAAAAAGAACATGACAAACATAGAACATCATATAGAAAAGGATCTTCCTGTAAAGTTTCATGTTGCAATTTCCCTAGTAGTCTCTAACTGTGACAGAGCTTGAAGGAGCAGGTTGCCAAAACTACTCAAGGATCCTTTGAACAAAGGAGCCAAGCCATTTAAAGGGTGTACATGGCGTTGGTGATCGGATGATCTTTCCAGAGCTCTGTCTGAGCTGCTGCTGCACCTTTGAAGTCAAGCCTTGTTGTTTTTCCAGCATGCCCCCGATCCTGTGCCACTATGGGGCAATTGTGTATTTAACTGTAAATGCATAGATATGTATGTATATACAGTAAATAAATATATATATATATATTAATACGTGTGTGTGTGTGTTGGACTTCCACCATGTCACCACCGTATCAATGTCAAAAAATCGAAGGTGTTGCCCATGGCACATCACATGACACACGCCTGGGCCCATCTGAATGAGTTTTGGCATGTCTCCCCTCTTGATTCTTGACCCATCTTCCAATCGTGCCAAGTCGAGCAAGGAGCGTGCATCGGCAGCCTCTGAGATCACGTCCGCTTCCATACTCTCGGAAAAGGTGTCGTTGGTCCCCTCACTGAGAACATCCTTGGCAGGGCTTCAGGCAACCCCCTGGGCCGACAGGCTTCAGATCGGTTTCGACCTGGTCCATGTCCTGTGAGAAAACAACACCAAAAGCTGCAAAATACCTGTTTTTAGGCCACATGAAACACGCGGAGCCACAGCAGGAAACAAGAAACAGACCCAAAAAAAAGGGCATACGAGTGCTCATGGGCTTCACCTACGGGGCTCAAAGATTGGCAACTGACAGAGAATACCAAGTTACAGTACCAAGATGTTTGTTGAGCTTTTCTGGAGTTGTTGTTCTAAGAGCGCAGCTCAAAGACGAATCCATCAACATCAGCTGCAAAATATGCTCCGTGGAATTGAGGTTTTCCGGACAGAGAGCATGAAAAACCACCAGAAACCCAAACAAATCCAACGCTTTCCGCGTTGCCAGGATTCCTGCAGCTCCACCATGTCTTAGACTTGGCGTGTTCACCAGCACAGCTCACGCGGGTGGATGTCGTCCTGACCGACGCCACGATCAACTAGTCTTGATCGCTGACAAAGCTGCGGTTCAAAACGATTGCGGTTCGATATGGTCGGCGCAAACGATCAAAGCTGAAGACACTAGCAGATTCCTCGTGCGTAGCCAAAAACCGACGTCTGAGTACGCTAACGAGAAAAAAAAAAGTACCGGGTACCGTTCCAAGTGGTTATGACCTAAACCCACTAGCTGAGGGGGACCACACTAAATTCACGAAGTCTGCCTCACCTTTCGATAAATCATCATTTCGTGACAGCAGCATTGCTCTGGTATAAATAGAGGGTGACCCACCCCGACCCAAAGGGCCTGTACTGTCTGAAGAGAGCAAAACAAAGTTAAACAACATGTCAAACAACATCAAACAACCAAAGGCTTAGGAGGGCTATGCGAGCGGCTCTTTTCTAAAGAAGTGCTGTTTTCTGTTTTGCACTCACCAACCGATGGAACCGGGCTGCTTGCCTGGACCCCCGCCCTCCGAGGCTGAAGACCTCTGGCTGCAGCAGCTGTCGTCCCCCTCAGCTCCCGCAGACAGCTGGATGACCTTTTTTCCCCTAGTAGCGTCCTTGCTACTATTTGTTACTAGTTTCTTGTTAGTAGTAGCGATGCCAGGAGCCGCTAGTAGCTTCTTGCTCCTAGTAGTAAGGCCACAAGCCCCTAGTAGCGTCCTTGCTACTGGGTGCCGTCCACTTTCAGATTGGCTGTGAAAATCTTTCTTTGGCCTTTTGGAGCTAAAAAGTTTCTAAAGCCACTCTTTACAGACAGGGGGGCTGTTAGTGAATCTTCCAGATTGGCTTTGGAAACTTTTGAAACCCAGGAGGCCGCCCCTCAGTGGCCACACATCGCAGTGGGTCACCGTCTCTCCGGGGCGCCGGCCCGGCGCGGAGAGAGCCGCCGCGCAGGAGAGGTCTGAGGGAGTCAGACGGTTCAGTCGATCCTTGTGATCCTCCAGCATACCAACATGCTGAAGCGAAAGATTCATCGCAACCCTTGGGCAAACATTGCCATGCTCAACAACCCAGAAGGATTGGATCATCCTTCCCAAGGATGACCCATAAGTGACCCAACGAGATCAAAAATGATCCAGACATATCCCTCAGCCTGCCCTGAGATTCACTTACTTCTGGGAAGTTGTGATTGTGCAAAGTCCCAATGTAGAGTTGACCGAAACATGCTATATAACCCTAGAGTCAGACACATGGCACCACGCCAAATGAGATCAGCTTCACACAGGGGGCTTGGGGGCCAACCTGGAGAGGGACGTCCGCACCTTTTCAAACTAGCCTTGATCTTTTTGGTGGAGGAACGCCACAAGGGCCACAAACAGTCCCTTTTGGATTTGCAGCCGCCAAGGATCTGATGCCCAGCCTCTGGAGAGAGTCCAAGCAGAGTGCCACGTGCCGGCCTCGTTCTTGACAATTGAGGGGCAGTGGTCTCAACAAATGTTGAAGAAACGTCATCTCTATGTATGTATGTGTGTAATGTAATGTAATCTAATCTAATCTAATCTAATCTAACCTAACCAATATAATCTAATCTAATCTAATCTAATCTATTCTATCTATTCTATCTATCTATCTATCTATCTATCTATCTATCTATGCACAATATTATGCACACACCATATCTACCCAGCATTGCTCTCTAGAAAATGGCCCAGCGCATGCTTGCATGACTGGTCTATGTTTCTGCGCGCTCACCCCTAAGGGTGTTTGGCCAACACGTGTCCAAATCCCACTTTGTTGAGTCCAGATCAGAGTGAACAATACAACAAAACTCAAGGAATGCCACCAGCTGCCAGTGCAAAGGCAAGAACATTACCATCCGGCATTCTCTTCTTGAAATGGCCCTTCTTGCTTAGCTGCCATTTCCCATTCTTGGCCACCCGGCACTGGCAGTGTCAAGGGTGTCCTGCACAGACTGAAATGTCGCAACTGGCCCTAACATGGTTCAAGAAACCAAGGCCCAGGACACATGTTTTGGCCAGTATCTTTCTACGTGCGAAGGGCGCAAAACTCAACCTCTGCTTCAAGGTGCTCCAGCCTTCCTGGTCTTAACCTGTCCATCTTCTTGAGAGGCAGCAACACAACATGGGTACATACTATATATATATATACATATATTTGTATATACAGTATATACCTGCGTGTGTGTGTGCACATACATACGCAAAATTTCTTCTACAACCCATCTGTACTGCAACCCAACTTGAGTGTTCTCTCGGTCCAGGCTCGGTCCTGGCTCTCACACCCCCCCGGACTATGTTCGTCCAAAACCGCCCCCTCCTCTCGTTCGGTGGGATCACCTGGCGGATCGGCTTCCCATCCGAGCGGAATCGAGGCCGTGACAGACACTGATCGGACAGAATGGACGAGCTATTTACTATGACTCACCAACACGTGAACCAAATTCGTGAGCGAGTGAAGCAATTCATCTTTGGCGTGTGACTCACCAACACGTGAACCTATCGTGAGTTTGGGGGCTTCGAACCTTGTGGTGGCCGCCCTGCAACAAAGCCCCTTCACCAACTCAAAGGGTCTGCAGAGCTGAAGAGACTGCAACAAGATTTGCTGATTTAGGTGTCGACTCTTGACCCACATCATCCTCTTCGCAGGGCTTCTCCACATATTGTGTTCCTAAGAAGCGGCATATATATATATATATAGTTGTCACAGCTTGCTGTTCGTGAGCGATCAGACTCATCCTAAGCCTTAGCCTCATGGATTCAACCTCGCCAACGGAGGCCTGGATCTCTGGAGCGCTCAAGTCATCATGACCTCCCAATCGCCGCAATGTCGGCGACATGCTCATCCCAAGAAGCACCGCGGATTCAGACGTTGAATACGGGGGATTGTTCCCAAAAGCACCCTGGTTGGAAAAACGTCTCCCACTCACAGAGCCTGCGCCTTCATCATTGGCCTGGCTTGGCCAGTAGCTCACATGGATCTGGAAATCTTGTCGTTGGATCTGCTGGGAAGGTGGCCAAAAAGCCCCGCACACAAGCAATGCCTTCCAGTATTTTAGTCTGGTTGAGTGTGCGTCACAGCGGCCTTGTCACAGGAGTCGCTCGGCCTGGGCCTTGGGCTAGGTGAAACAACTGCAGGCCATCACATGCTAGACCCAAAGTGTACAGCTAGGGTGTCTAAACTGAGGTTTCTGGCTCCCCACATGTTGCCCTGGAAGAAACCTGTGGGCAGTCTGAGCAGCCTGGGAAAGTCTGTGGGCCACACACCTCTGGCTGTGGCTGCGGCCCCTTTTTTTTCCCTGCAGCTTCTACTCAGATTCACCAACTGGCCTGTCTTCCCCAGCGGAACTCCAGATCAGAGCAGGTCAACCGCCCGGCCCGCGCGGGCCTTCGGGGGGCGCGCCCACTGCGGCTCCCACCCCCGGTCTCTTCACAAATGCCCTGGGTCGGTGGCAAAATCGATGGCGATGCCAGGAGAAACTGTTACCACAAGACCTTGTCCTTACTCCAAGCTGAAAAGAATGTTGTGGCAACGGGTAGTTAAGATATACATATCATGTCAACCACGGATCGTAGCCTTTGTGCTTCAATTCGAGCAGAATATGTTGTATCGAAATGGTGCTGTCCTTGCAGAATAGTCTGCTATGTTTGTTTCTCCCAGTCTCGCGGAGCAAGGTGCTACTTGCGCGGCTCAAGCTGCATATCTGTCTACATCCTCGAAGCTACGGCAACAGGGGACTGTGGTGTAAAGGTGCCACAGCTAATGCTCCATTGCTTAGAAACTTGAAGAAAGGATGCCATGATATGCCCTGAACACAGTTGCCAAATGGCAGCCATTGCTCCCAATCCAAGAGGATGATGAGCGCATCCCGGAAGTTCTGCGGGCGCCCAAAACCAAAAGCTTTTTAGAAGTCGTCTTGCTCTTCGGCATTTTCGAACAGCATGTCACCTCGGCTGGGGCTGCTGGGGGTGACATGCACTGTTGCTGAAAAAAGAGGGTGTGCACGTCCCAGAGGGCATCCCAAATACACTCAAACCTGATGGACTTCACTTCACGACCCTGGACCAAACTTCTGAAATCCTCCTTCGAGCTGCAAAATGAGCATGCCACGCGGTCAACTGTGGTAAGATCCACAAGCCCTCAACAACTGACGGGTACCGACCCAGAATCCGCAGTCAAAATCCCCACCTGCTTCATCGAGTAGGTCGATGCCCTCCTCAACAGCCTCCGCCGTGAAGAAGGCGTTCGCTGCGCCCATCAGCGCAGTCGCGAAGCCACCCTGCCCGGTGGTCCATAGTCTTGTCAAACAGGAAATGAGGAACCTTCACATGATCTAATTACGTTCGTATGCCAGAAACACACAGCGCTCGTGTTGTGATGGCATGAAAGCAAACACCATCCGTCAAAGGATGCGGGTTCGGAAATTCCAGAGTCCACACCCAAGGATTGTCCGCCTGCGTGTCCATCGGATATGAGGCGGGAGCATCAACTGACCGCCTTGGACTACAACGGCGTCTTCTGAGCGTTCTCAATCATGGACATCACTAAATGTCAAATGGAGACCGTGCGATGTGCCTTTTTCTTTCAACCAGGTAGGTTTTGTTGAAGTGGACATCCCTAAAGCCAAAACAATGAACTCAATAAACCAGGCTAGTCTAGAGTCTAGTGATAGAATCCCTTGCCTTGAGCAGTTTGCCCCTTGATAGAAACACTGAGGGAGGAGTTCAACTATGTTCAACTTGCATTTGCCAGAACTCTGCAGCCCAGCTCCCTCCCAACTCAGCGTTTCGGTGGTACCTTCCATCTTTCTGCTCAGGCGCTTGGGTCCGACGGCTGCATGCCTTGCCCGTGCGTGGGAGGAGCTGGACTGCACCAGCACCGTGTCCAAAGAGAAGGGCTCTTGAAGATCCAAGATCAAGCTGGAGGCCAGCTGAGGCACCTGGCTAAAGCCTCCAGGAGAGGCTTTAGAGGACCAAGTGCAAATATGTTGAAATTAAAACGGTCCTCTTTTTGGTCCAACCATCCACTTCAATTCCCGCCTTCATTTGCCAGGCGTTGCCTCAAGTGCTCCAAAAGTTCCACGTACCTGCAACGCAGCAAGTGAGCTCAAAAAGACCACGGTTGCTTTGCACCCAAATTCTGCCCAGGCACGTCATGGTGCTGCCTTCCAGCAAGCTCTGCATCGCTTCGATGAATGCAGAGGTCAAGGCCCCTGGGCAGGGCCGATATTTGATGACCAATGCGTTCTTCTTATTGACCCTACCCTTTCACCCAAACTGTCTCATTCTCCCTTCTCGCCTCCTCGTCTACAAAGCTACTCTACGTCTGATGTTATGAACGGCCGCTGACATGATATTGGCCGCTGATGCCTCCTGCCCGTGCAGTGTTGTCCAGCAGTAGGTGTCCTCCTTCCGCGCTGAACGACGAAGGAGGCCGAAGTCAGTGCAAAGCCCTTCAATCACACCGCATTAAACATGATGACGGAAATCGGAACCCACCTGGCAACCTGGCACCCAGCAAATTAACCAACCGCTCGATCCATTCGATCCATTGGCACATTCGACCGCACAAATGGACCTTCAACGGCTTGCAAATGGAATTGCTGCTGCACATCTCCCACATCCGCACTGGTCTGCTCTGACGCACAGCCCGTGAAGGCAATGACCTCTGCCTCGGCTCGCCAGATCATCCGTCGCTGGGTGCTCGGAACGCGCACGAGTGTGTAGAGACTGGCTTGGGCCTGTCATGAAAATATGCCACACCCAAAGGCAGTTCTGAAAAAGCCTCTTAGCTTCAATACACCTTGCTTGGAACACTTTCCACTCCTCACCAACCCCCAGCACCAGACAGTACACTGTAGACTTTGCAGCCCACCATGATTTAGAATTGACTGCCAATCCTCGGCACCAGAGAACCGCTCTTGGGGTCCAAGGTCTCATGCTCCTTCCCCTCATCTCAGCACCATCAACCCCCAAAAACACTCACAAATCCAACCCTAGGCTGGCATGAAAAGAGGGAGGACGATATGTATTGCACCTTCTACCTGGTGAAAGCATGCTAAGAGTCTGCTCTTGAACCCTACTGATCCAGCTGAGCATCCACCGCAGCGCCTTGATTCTCAGCCTCATCAGTGCGGAAGCCGCCCTCGCCCGCTTGCTGGTTCTCCCGGAAGCGACTGTAGAGGCCCCAAAGGTCCATACCTCGTGGTGCCCAAAGGTTAAAGAAAATCTTCATCTGTGATCCATGTGCACAGTAAACTGTAATAGGTTGATACTGTCTGATCATACTAAAACCCTGACAGATGGATGGAAGATACATGTTTGTGAACAGCTATCTTAAGCTCGTCCTCGTGGCCGTAGGCTGAGCGAGAACATTACCTTTCATGCATAAGACTCCCCCATCCGATTGAAGAAGGACCTTTTCAAAACGCCTATGGCCTATGACTCTATGACTGATTTGGAGTTAGAGATGCCATGCAAGCAAGCCAGGCAAAATATCAGGAAACCACCCTTGGGTTTTGTAGCTTCTGTCTCTAGCGCCAAAACGGTTGAGCTCTACGAGCTTTCGACAGGAGCAGCACCAGGTCACACAAGAGCAGCGACTTTGGTTGGACCCAATTTCAGCATATTTCTCACAGGAGCAGCGACGGTTGCAGGCACAGGTCTTGGTGTTGAAGCTTTCCACGGCGTTGGCAGCAACTCCACAAAGAACTGTGACATTCAATATAATAGTCAATAGTCAGTCTATTTATATATACATATACATAGCATATAGGTTATATAGATATGCACTGATAGTCGATAGTATTATAGGAGGATATTCTACAGGCGATGGTAGTCATACCCTGGACTCACCATATCGGAACATGTCCTTGGAGCATTCTACCAAGGGGATGAGTCTATATATAATCCATGTTAGTGAGTGGAAGTGTATAATGTGATGCCCAATGGGAAAGCTGGTCTTTGAGGGCTCGGATGGGAGGATGGTTTGAATATTGGGGGGGGTGAGGAAAACCTGCAAATTGCACACTTAGGGTTACTTATACCTTTTCAACCCCGTCAACTAAGGACTAGCGTAACTAGCCAATCCAAAGTCTATTTCCCTCTAAACTCCTTTCAGCCCATTTCAGCCCAAGCCTTTCAGCCCGGGCCTGCCATCGAATTGCCAACGTCCAGGTGGCTCGACCGAGCGGCCCATGGAAGTCACGTCGGACAGGAGCATCGTCGGGTCATCACTGTCCTGCAACCAGCGGCAGGACGAACTAGCATCGCTGCTGGCTGTCTGTACTGCATCCCAGGTTTATGGACTGCCTTCTGTCCCATGGCGGGTCACCCAAAACAATCGTTAGTGTCCCTTTTAGACCTTCAGGAACTTGACGCAGGCGTGCCTCATCCTTTGCACATGCAAATGCGCATGCATATAAATATATATATATATATTTCTATATTCACATGGCACAGCTTGAAAAAGTGCAACTGCACTGCTGCAGTGCCACCATCCAGGACAGAATGGCAAGCGAGATGCTTTCCTCGGAATTCCTGCGGCCTCGCCTGCCAGGATCGCCAATCGTCCAACCAATTCCTGGCCATGACCATCTGTGCTGCTTCCCCCGCCAGTGCGGATGCCAAATTCTCCTGGTCACAGTGGTCAAATGGCACGCCACGCCCCGGAATCCCAGGCCCCAACTCCATGCGAATCGCCGTACGCCAGGAGCTCCTAGTAGCTTCTTGCTCCTAGTGGGTGCTCATTCTTTCACTGCCAATCGATCATGTTTGGGGCACTCTGGGCCTGACCACCCAGACGCCTGAGTGCCGACGAAGATAAACGGCAAGTCTAGGACGCCCCCACTGTGGCAGCTATCCAAGATACCTGCGTCGGCCAAGGACACCGGTATTCATAGTAGCCATAAATTGATTGGCAGGACACTGCTGATCGGTACACTTGTTCATTTTGGACTTGTCCAACAAGAAAGGTGGTATGTCGTTGCAAAATCAAGTCCAAGAGCGCGCCATTCTTTATTTTCACTTTCGGCCCACCGAAAAAAGTAGCTCTATGTAGTTCGATGCCCTTGGTCAAGAATACTGTACGCTCAACTTCTTGGGGCGCAAGTGAGCCGGCAGCCAGCAGGCAAGGGCCGCACCAAGGTCTCGAAAAGCCTCAAACCACACTTTTCAGGCAGAGTGGTCATGCTGAGTCGTTCGAGTCGCATATGCATCGGTTGATGACACGGACCCTTAAATGGTTCGTAGGGGTCAGAGGGAGCACCATAGACTCATAGACGCCAAGAGGCTCAGTGTCCAGAAGCATTCCTTCAGTGTCCATGTCGACCTGCACACGCCATGTCCAACTTCCCACGAGCCAATCGGATGTTCCTGGAAACCGTTTGTTAGTGCTGAGTCAAGTCGTGCCCGGGCAAACACCTACCATCAACAAGAAATGTTGAAATGATCAGCAACAAATAGCCTTATCGACCATAGTCTGTAGCCTTATCTGATGGAGCTTACCACTTTTGCCAAGCTGCTGGGCAAAGCGTTTCATGCCACTCGCTGCCGCTTCCTTGTGGAATTCAAGTCACAACACTCCAGGCTTCAGTGGATCCATTCTTCCACCAGTCCGGGCCATAGAGGTCACTCAACATGAACCGTCCCTTCCTTCTGTCGAGTCATGCTGCGGGGCGTGCCTTTCCCTTACACGACATCCACATGAAAGATAAACCACCTGTAGGTTGCAGGCTGTGCCTGGCACATGGTAGGCTGTACGAAATGATGTGTGGCAGGATGTCAAGTTGCCATTTCGGTCACACGTGGCGCTTAACTCCTGGCACTCGATCTATATATATATATATCCCCAGCCAGCCCTAACATCAGACTCATCAGACCATACAATATCATAAAGCTAATTCCAAAAATCGCTTTATATTATTGCAGCATCGGCTGCCATTTCCTCAGTGAAAGAAGTGGCTTCCAAGTTCCAGTGCATGTGCACGCGTGGTGTGCGGCTGAGAACCCTCCTCCCAGTCCCACCTTCGCGTGGCATCCGGCCGCCGTGGCCCGAGTAGTGCAGCAACAGGCAGTCGCCCGGCTCCGCGTCCGCCGTGAGCCAAGCAATGCCCTCCCTGAGCCAAGCAATGTGCTACACCCGTCCGTCTCTGTCGTGGGGCTGGAAAAAGAACTGTCAGCGCTGTCAGCACTTTCGGTTGGTGCACTACTTGCTGTGGAAATACCGAAGCTGAATGAATGAAGGGATAGAAAGTCCAACGCTCAAAGTCGAGAAACTGGTGTTGGAGCTCGATTCATGTATCTTAGATTTACATATAGATACACACATGCTTCCACTGAACTATATAATGCTGACTGTTGATGAAAACGTGCCCATGGAGATGGAGATGTTTGACCATCCAGCTAGTGGAGTCTATCAGTCTATCCATCAACAGCCGGCTCGTAACAAGAAGCTACTAGTAACTAGAAGCTACTATAAAGGTTGGAGGCCATCGCTAGTAGGTTGGAGGCCATCGCTGCTAGTAACAAGAAGCCACAGTACCTACCTTGAACTCTGCTCCCTCGCCTCATGTTCTTCAAGGTCGGTCTCAAGTGCCCTGGCCACTGCGGTGTATCCACCAGCACGCGTCGTTGAGCTTGGTCTTGGGGAAAGCCCATCAGATCCAGCAGCGAACACATCCGCTGCACATCCGCCACGCATCCATGCAGTTCATTGGAGCTTCCAAAGTAGTTGATGCCCACCAGCAAGCTCCTGTTCGGCGAACCCCCAAAGTCTCCCCCTCCCCTGGCGCAGGGTGTTGGATGCAGCCCCAAAAGCCTTAAAAAAACAGGGACTCCAAAAGCCACTTGCTAATTGCTCCGTATTGCACCTCCCACTTACACCGCGCTCTTCCCTCCTCTTTCGCCCCGTCAGCGGCACTCGCGGCGAGCCCACGCTGGCCGCGCTCAGGCTGGCCACAGGCGCCCGCTGTGGGCGTTGGGGCGCCGAGACCCGGGGGGACTTGTCCCCACAGCAGATGGGACCTAAGCACCGAAGCAGGTCCATGGCGGTGTGTGGACGGGCGTGTGGCTGTTGGATGCTGGAGGCTGGCGAGGGCTGGCTTAAGCTAGCATAGCGAAATGATGTTCCTCAAGCTCCTTTTTGGAAGGGTGGAGTCATCACGTTCAGAGAACTACATGCCGTATTAGACATTTGCATACTACTGTATGAGTGGCATTGCTCTGCCGCTGTTTCTGCGCTTCTTTGCCAATGTCAATGTCAAGTCTTCGAATTCTTCAGGAATCAGCACATGCGCAGCAGCGTGGTGTGCTCAGTTGTAAGCTTCAAGAACTGGGCCAAAAGGGCTTCGCGAAGCTTGCTGTCGACATGCATTCGCATCGCCTAGGGCCCAACACCAAAAGTCGGCTGGTTTCCCGGTGGTTGTGCTCACCAGGCCCTATCGGGCACACAGACTCATAGACTCAAAGAACTCAAGTACCAAATCAAATGCATTTGCCGAACATTAATTGATGGCCTCTGAACTGGATTGAAACCGTCCAAAAGTCCAAAAGCGAAAGAGATCGAAAGAATGTCACTCCATCCGCCACACCCATCGCATGTACATGTTCCAGGGAGCTAAAGTCAGTAAAGAAATTCATGTGCTCATGAATCGTAAGCTCCTCGCACGCGGTCACAAGCCCACATTTCAAACCAGCTGCCAAGCGGCCAATATCCCATAATATCATGAAATATCTCTGCCACGCTGCGCCCCACCAAACCCAAGAACCACGCAGCGGGAAGAGCGCCATCGCGGTATTCAGCAGCTCTTGCCGTTGCTGCAGGTCAAACCTCAACGGCCGTTCCCGCAGGAGCCCGGGGGCCGCGCGAGCCCCCGGCGGCGTGGCCGTTGACACTAGGCACCTGGCTGAAGCGGACCGCGAGGATCCACCCAGCTGGTTTCCTGGTTCGGAGCAGCGAAGCGAAGCGTTGAAACGACATGACAAAGCCTGCTCACGCAGCCATCGCCTTGCGAAAGGAGAAAAAACATCTCAAACTGTTGAGAGGGAAAAGAGCTTCGCACTAGAATCTAGAAAGGAAAACACACGCTAGGAAAAAGAAAACACCACATGAAGAAGTGCACTGAGTTCCTGACCCTAGTGCTGCAGTTGTAGAAGTAGACGTCCCGCACATCCACCGGCCTCGGCACCGATCCGTCGCGACCGTTTCCGAATCTCCGCGTCGCTCAGAGGACGTGACGCTACTTCTGGTTTGAGTTCAAGCACTGAACTAACTACTCATGGAAGTGGAGAATCAGAATCACCTGCTTTGGAGAATCACGGTGCAATGGGCAATTCTTCTCTTCCGTGATGAACACAAGGAGTAACCACCGGCCAAACGCCATAACCACCGGCCAAAGCGGTGGTCCAAGCTGCAGAGGTCGGTCTGGTCGACTGCCTGGCCACTGGTGGAAGACTCGGTAAACAAGAAACTGGTTGTTCTCACGAGGAAACTGTATGGGTTCTCAAGGGTGAAGCGGTATATAAATGTAACTGGCTGTTCTCATCTCTTCTTGGCCCACGCAGAGAAGAAAAAGGAGTCGACTCATGATCCGACGAAGCCGATGCGCTAGCCGTTAAGCTGTGCGGTTCTCATAGGCTCTGCTTTTCACCATTCCCTTGATTTCATGAGCGTGGTTCTTCAAGGGCCCGAAGCCACTCGCGGATGCCCAAAGCCTCCTTCCATGCAATGAGGCCCACTCCATTGACTTAGCACCTGGACAGCCGAGCCACGCAAAGCACGTTGCCCCATAAAAGAGGGTGAAAGAAGAGCTCCGTCCTGAGCTGCCAAAGCTTTGTCCTGGGTGTCTTGAAGCCATCGGTTCCTTCAAATCCCCTTCAATCCCTTTTGCTCGATCCCCTGAGCGCTCTCATCGATTCCTCGCACCTTGAGCGCAGCCACATGGGCCGTGCGCAGGTGGCGCTCGGAGCGCCTTCTTCGGCGCAGGTGGCATTCAAAAAACCCAGCGCCAAGGTGGAGCGACCGCCAGAGATAGAAACTAGATGAAACTAGACTGCACATGTTGAAGAAGATCCGTCGATCATATTCGATCCATTTTGTGAGGCTATTGGCCTCTGATGAATTGCAGCGTAAACCTTATATAACCGTTAGGTCCTAACGGAGACGGAGACACTGTGTCATAGCCAAACCGGGTCATTTTTGTGAGCTCTGGATTTGGGATGGTCAATCTGTGCGCTCGCTCCCTGCCGCGGCAATAAGGACGAAATGAACAAGCCACAGTCCAGTGTACTAGTGGGTATTTAGCTCTGCCCTCATTACCCATACCCATCAGTGACGCTGTGATTCATTCCAGCTACAGGGCACAAAATGGCTCCAAACTAAGAAGTAAGTGAGGCTCAACAGGTGGAGCTGCATGTCGAATGGTAACTGGGTGTTGTTGTCACTCTTTCATACCGAAGCGTGATAAAGCCGTGTGAACCTGTCGTCCGTGCCCAAAGCCTGGCGAGCTCTTGCGGGGCACCGTCCGGTGGCCAAGACCTCGCCGTCCGCACTCTAAAGAAAGACTGACGTTGCCAAAAACCGGCTGCTACATTACATTTGGAAGAGTGAGCAACATATGATAATATATGTACGTTGTATGTGTATATATATATATACATATATGCGCGTGTACATGTCATTATACAATTTATATATATATTATATACATATATACATGCATGCATGCATGGGTGTGCCTTCGAACAGGAAGGACCTCCTGTGGACAGTCCAAGGGACACCTCCATCCGTCCTAGGAGACTCCTTCGTTCACCCATTCATCCAGCCAAAAGGCCCAGTCGCACCCACAAAAAAACATCCCAAAACAGAACGAGGCCCCGGCGTCACCTCCTCCATGATGGATTTGAACCTGGCAAATGAGACCGCGGGACTCCTAAACAACCCTCTGGGCTCAAGAACCCAGCGGTCTTTCACTTGCTAAAGGAGGAAAAACCTTTCTTACTTGTGGTTGTATTGCATGAAGTACCATCATCATTTGTAATCTTCATCACTTCAACTATGTAGCTATCAAGTTCACCATCTGAGAGGAACAAAAAACTGCTGAACTCCTGTGCATGACACTGAACCGAGCTCCAAGTCAATTGCAAAAAGTCACAAAATCTCTGAGATGGAGATCTCGAGCCAATTGGATGTCATACCAAAAGAACCTGACACTTTTGCCCTTCGGGCGCCGACAGGGTCAGTTGCGGATGGCTAGATGACCTGGCTGAAGACCGCTTTGCATGTCGCTTCGAACCCGGCCGATGGGTGAGCCAACAGGTGCCCAATCAGATCTGCTTCACTTAGCTTCATCGTCCCATCGTTTGGGAGCCCGTCGAACACAAACAGCAAAAGGGCATAAGTGCGAAGTGGCCACAGAGGGTTGCTTTTTCTTGAAGATGGTGGGTGGCCAAGGTTGATGCGAAGCCGCACTCACACACGACCAGAAAAAAGGGCTCCGGCGCTCGCTTATGATTCCTCCCATGGTGTGGACAACATGTCTCTAGGCCTTATGTCATGCGATCAGTGACTGGACCGACTGGACCTTAATGGCATGAAAAAGGCTGAAAGGCCACATGTGCGGCATGTCAGGCGGCCTCACCACGAAAATATGAGTCATCAATGTTCCCTGAGAAAGGCTTGGGTACCCGCACGTGTCTCCTGTGAGCCTGTGGAAGTAGTACGGCCGCCTCCGAATGGGATGCGGCGGGACATGATCCTTGAGTTTGTCACCTGTTGCACTCAACGTTTTCCCAATGGCAAAATAGCCTTGGACGATCTGGTAGAGGCCAACCAGGCTGGTTGGCGGATAACCACCAAGAGGGAAAGCTGGCCAACAAAAGCTACTGGGTGCTCATGCAGTTGCCTATGATTCATTCCCGGCATCATGAAAGGCCTTGTGAGGTATACGGGCATCACTCTTCCCAAGACCAATCTCCCAAGGGTCAAGTATATACATATGTATATATATATATACGCTTTCTGACAGCCTTTTAATGGGAAAGTGATAGCAAAATGATTCTAAACCCTGTACCGCCCACGCATCCAATCAAGCCCAAGTGCCCTTTGTAGCCCTGCTTCTTCTTCCTCAGCACCGTGGCGTGTCAGCTGGAAGCAAATTGGGACTCGAAGGGCTCTCTAGGTCTGATTTTGAGCTGCTACATCAACCACTTCTGACAGGTAAATCTAAAAGTTTTGGCCTTCCAGGTCCGCGCTCCGGGAGTCCGGGCCAGTCAGGGGGCAGTGGGAGCTCCAACATTCCTTGCCTCAGAGGTTCCAGTGTGCATGTGCACAGACAAACAGACAGACAAACACCCTGTGGAGACCTTGTCCCGCGCACTGCACCACAGACGTCGAATGTATCCACTTGACAGGCCATGTGTAATCGCATGTTTCCTTCAGGGCAAGAACTCAGCTCTCAAGTGTTCCCTTTCCATATGCCAGTCGAAGTGCGCTCCCTTTTTCACAACTGGAAGTGAGAGAAAGAGAGAGAGAGAGAGGGAGCGAGAGAGAGAGAGAGAGAGAAAGGGGGGGGGCCACTGGATGTGATCAAAACCTCATAGCCCAAACCAAAGCTGTTCCATGCTTATCTTAGTCTTAGTCCTTGCGCGCACCTTTCGGCTTGTAGCCCATGTATCTTCCCTTGGCCCTGAGGTCGGCACGCGAGGGTCTTTTGCCTCAGCCAGTGGCCAAACACATAGGCAACATCTGTAAAGAAATCCGTCAAAACTTTGGGCGCCTGAATCTCTTTCACACATGACTCCACGGCACCCCAACATGAACTCCCATTGCCTGGGGGCTCCAGGCCACCCATCGGTTGCACCAGTCAGCAAGTTCAGCTCTGCCTCTGCCATCCCTAGGCGGGGCAACACAGATCATCCCACAAGGAGCTCTCTGGTCTACAAGTGCTCAACTCACTCCACACCGATCGGGCCGAAAAGGTTATATAGATGAGGTTCGATGGTCAACCTGGTCAACTCGCTCCGGACCAGAAGAACTCTTCGTCCCAGGGTCAGACTTGCCCCATCCCTCTCCCTCAAGCACCCCGGCCCAAGCTCCTGCAGGGTGGGTGGTCAGTGGATGCGTCTGCAGGGTCCGCTCTTGCAAAGCTTTTTGGGTTCGCTGCCAGTCTTAGTCTTGAGGTGACCCTTTCATACCCATACACTTCTATCATCCCTTGTCCTCTCACTGAAATCAAGTACTGCGTGGCCAAGATTCCAACTCCCTGTTTTGCGATGAGGCTTTACTGCTAGCGACTTCCAAACTGTGTTGGCTAATGAGACAGAATGTTGCATTCCCCCTGCGCGCCAGCTGAAAATTGTGGAGAGCGTCGAAAATCAATGCACAACGGGCCCTGGCACTCTACAAAGACAGTAGAACTGCTTTCAATTAGTCAGAACATGCCTTCTCGGAGCGGTAGGCAGGGCCCGTGACCAAAGTCTAGAGCTCTAAGTGTCCGGGGGCACTGAGGACATGGTGTTTCTGTACAGGTCTCTGGGGAGGAACAGCTCCCGATAGGTAAAGTGGACTAGAACGAGCAATCAGCATGAGGGCAGTTACAGCCCAACACGTGTTGGCCATGTCTCAGTGACCAGGTCGGAGGAAGATTCAAGTGAAATTCCTGCGTGATCTGCTAGCTCCGTCGCGCGGTCGAAGATCGAGCTTCTCATTAGCCCATGGGCCCAGGTGGGGCCGCTAAGCAGATCACACAAAAACTATATAGTCACCTTGAAACCGTCAAGGGGTCAATGGTTGAAAGTGGACTTTCAGTACACCTACAGGTGGCTCGTGGCCCACTTGACTCCGCGGACATCCAGTTCCCTGGTTTTGGTGTCAAGGTGAGCCAAACGACGGGTCTGAACAACTTGGCGCATAATGCCCTCTACGCAAATTCTGCGCAGAAGCCAGGCGCATGGTGAGAAGGAAGGGTTCTCTGCTACCCATCACTCAGTGGGGCCCCATGAACTGGAGGAGTTTAAACCCTTCCTCTTCTGTTCACTCTAAGCCCTCGGAAGACGACCCAAAGTCTCAGGCGCCTCAGTTCACCTTAAAAGCATTAGTTCATCATCAGAGCATTGCTGGCCCTCCGCTCCACATCATCCGCCAGTCGCAGCAGAATGCGCCGGGCAAGCTGACGAGCGAAGCGCTGCGCAAAGGAAGCAGCACCTGCAGCGCAGGTGAAACACCAAATGCATGGAAATCACCTCAGAAGTCCCACAGATTCTGCATCCCACCTGGCGTTATGCTGGGCAACAAGCCCTGGGCCAATGGCTGTAAGCGCTGAAGCCTCTGCACGGTCCTTGGCTTCTGAAAACCCGCGGAGGTGCCTTGAGGGTTGAGATGAGGCGCACTGTCTGCGGTGGTCACAACGGAACAATTCAACACAAATCCCTATGTAACACGCACACTAAGCCAAATCCTTCGGGTTCATCAGATAAATTACACAGGCATAGACCCCAGATAGGAACTAATTCAAACGGAAGCACATCTTTTCCTCTTAGCAGCGGCACAGCAGCCGCACACGGCAGCACAAACCAAAACGGAATACAGGCACCCGGTCCTTGAGAAGTAAGAACCCCCATAGCTATCACTATCTGAGGAAAATCCTTTTTGACCAGCGTCTGACCCAGGTCCGCCCCCCTCATCATCCGAGTTGGCATCCCTGGAGGCATCCACCAGCTGGACAATCCGCCGGATCACTAAGAGAGACTCCTTGTCCTGGACACCAGCCACCCGCTGTGGGGAGATATCAGGAATTGGAGCGCACTCAGTTGGTGAAGGTCAATTGGGGCATGTCCCACGGTTTAGCCACTTGAGCCTGTTGGGAAAGGACCGGGGGCAGGACCCGTTTCTCTCAATCGGTCTCTCGCACCCAGAAGGTGGCTGACTTGATCAGGCCAATGCGTCTCAGTGTCTTCCTCACAAAAATCACGGCGGCACTTCCAAGCAAAGCGCGAAGGCAAGTACTTGAAGCCCTTAAAGCCCTAAAAGCTTGAGGGCCGATCAACCTTTTTGGGTGGCAGCACCCCACAAAGGAAGGACGAGAAAGTGATTAGGTGTGCAAGGCCCCTTGAATTTTAGACAGGCTCACTTTGATCATAAAGAAAGCCCCCTTGGTTTTTGGGTGTTGCAGGTGCCAAACTGCGTTTAACTGGAGCGAAACCGCCAGCAAAAAATTGACCGCGGACAACACCTTCCGATTGGGGTTCCAATTGCGCACTAGCAGCAGTGACAGCAATGTCAGTGACCATTGAAATCAAAAATGTTTAGCATATTCTCCGCATTTCAGTGGTTCATTCAGCCTAATTGCCCGTCCAAATGATCATGAATTTCTGAACGGGTGAGGTTGGGTGGTGAACACAAGCTTGCAAAATTTGGTGGGCTGACCGTGGGAATCTGGGAAGCTTTTGAAAATCAAGGGGCTACACCCTCTCGCTGAACACAAGTCTCAGCTAGTCGCCCATCTTGCCGGATTCGTATGAAAGCTCAAGCGACGGCGACAGTCCTCTCTACTTAGGAGCCTGCTGCCACTGCTGCCACCCAGCAAGAAGTTCAAAGGCAGCGTCAAAGGCAGTGCCAAAGGCCCCAAGTTTCTCAGCAGCTGCAGAAGCGTGGCACGTGACAGGGCGTCAATTGCCGCCACACCCTCATCAATGAGGAGGTCTTGCAAGAAGTTGCCCTGGCTCCAACACTATGCGAGGAAACGGTTTGAGGACTTCTGAGGATACCTGAGCCTCTCCGCAATTCCTTGAAAAAACAAATAGTAAGATTGCCTCTCTGCCTATCCGTCACGACCATTCAATCGGTGGCTCGGAGTTCTTGAGGTCACTTCAAGGCTTCCCCTTTTGCAGAACCATGGAGCACTTGCTCTTTGGCCCTGGGGTTCTGTGCCATACCAAACGCCATGCCATCCGTCACCCCCTTCGTCGCCTCCGCAGAGAAGATCACCTCTGCAATCTCCCGCGACGCCGAGTCCAGCTGTGGCCGCGCGCTCGACCGCTCCGCCCCACCCTCCGCGTGGCCCGCGGCGGGCCCTGTCGTCGCGGGCGCACGGACACCGCCGGCGGCGGCGGACTCGGAGCGGCTCCCCTGCGACGTTGCAGAAGGGAGGTGGGGCTTTGGAAGCGGTGAAAAGAGATGAACATGCTGTCTGTGTGGGGTGAGAAACTCCGTCCTTTCATCGAAGTGGTTGCTTCAGCCAATGATGAAACAGACCCTCCTGTCAGCATGGAACATCATGGAACCAAGCCCGCCAAGCCAAGCACCAATCCAACCGTCCCTATCCCGGTGAATAAGCCCCAACTTCTGAGCATGAAGTGCCCACATCTCCCAGTCATTCCACGGTTCAATTCGCACCTGGAGCCTGAAAGCGTCATCCCAATGGATAAATGCGTCATTCCTATCTATTGGATCATCCGGACTCCTCTCTTCAAAAGAAACCAAGAAACCACTTCTGCATCTTCCAACTGCCTCTTTTGATTGACTCTTCTCGCTCGCCTCAGCAGAACCTCCTCCGCTGAGTAAGAACCCCAGGGGCGTAACATACATACCTCGTTTGCGGAGGTTAGTAAGTATCTAGCAGGCAACCCC